ATTCTCCGTGTGTGTAGTCTGATTGACCTGAGTGTGACTACTGGTGTATGCAGTCTAACTCATGTGAGGAGATCATTTTAAGCTCTGGACCCAGCCTTTTTCATGGTATCCATTCATTTCAGAATCTTATGTGTATACTGTAATTTCAGTTTCTTCTAATCTCTGTGGAGTAGAGGACAGCCACTGTAAATACATCCCTCTCTAAATTTCAGTTATGGCCGAGACAGGAGTTTATTCAAAGATAAGTACTTCAAGAGCTTTCTTTACTAAAATGCTCTTTGTTTTATAAACTTCATCTTAACCATTGAAGTTCCTTAAAGTAGATACCAAAGGCATTCCCAGTAGAGTAAAATAATTGCACAGATTGTAATGTTTAGCCAGCCCTAAAAATATGCACATCCTTAGTCCAAGGGAGCTGCTTTCATTTCAGGAAAATGAAATTGAAGTTGTAATTCTTTTCTTCCTCGAAATCAGAAATTATTTCAGATGTAGATTAATTTTTTTTAATATGGCATGCAAGGATAAAGCTGTACAATGCTTGTGAATGTTAATGGGAATCATAACTATATTTCTGTGCATTGTTCTAAAAAATTCTTGCTTAGTTTTTTGCTTATATGCACATATGTTTTATTTGGTGGGACATACGACAAAATTAAGGGCTGAATAAAAATAAATATTATATACCAGTACCAGAAATAATAAGTTCTGTCATTTTGCTAATCCTCCTCTCCCAGGGATAACAAAGAATGAATTTACATTAGTAAACACTAACAAGAATTCATTACTGCCCTCACAAGAGGCTTGAAGAAAATGAAAGAACATAGTGTACTGAGGAGGAAAGATGGGTAAAGAATCTTTGCTGTCTTGCTACAGAGTTACAGACAGGTTAATATGGAGGAAAGATTCTCACACTATTATTGACTACATTCAGCTTCAAGAAAATCACATTTTGATAGAGTTAGTTTAGTCAATAGCAGGTAGTGTTATAACTGGAAAAGCAATTAGAACTTCAAAATTTTAATTGCATTTCTAGTTATGTACCGAGTAAGCTTAGTTGTTCCTTTGGGCAAGGAATCAGGCAAGTGATATTATCACAGAATACCCTAGAACCAAAGACACACCATGAGAAATGTTGTGTTGAAATCATTACTAGTCAAAATGAAACTAGTGCCATAAAATCTTGAGGCACACCTCATATATTCTTAAAATGCTTGCCCTGGGGACTGATCTCAGTATGGTTTCCCATCTTGTGGGCACAATTGATTGCATACAATTAGTCATTTAAGATATGCCAACAGGATATGTTGTGGTGTCATAAAAAGGCTCAAATCCTAGCTTATTCAGAGCTAACTCATTATTGAGTTATTGAGGCTGTCCACTGTCCATTCTGTTCTAGTTTTTGTTGACTAACTCGGATCTCTTCTTGGTTTTAGGATTCACAAACATTCTTTGTATTGTTTTCTCCTGTACTGCTGCTTCATGTATACAACATGTATTTCAAGAGCAGCCCAGACAATTCTATTATTCACCCCAGAAGGCAACTCAGTGCATTCCCGTTTTCTAATATTTTCTAGTGTTTGCTCTCTCATAAAGACCCTATCTCTTGCTTTATCAAACTTCTCAGTTTTGTGTATGGTGATTTATTTTGCTTAATGAAGGTAGCATAGATGTTTTTGAACCCATTAATTTTTTAATTCCCAGGACATTCTAGTCTACAGTTGGTGCACACTAGATGTTAAAAAATGCGCTTTCAGTGAAAAGTTCAGCAACCTGACTGCTTTCCATCTGTCATAAACGTAGAGTTGTTCCTTGGACAAGAAGTCTGAAATGCACAGACTTTTCCTTTAGCATATTATGGTTTTCACTGAGTACTGGGCAGTTACTGCTAACCATACTCTGGGCAGAAAATTACTGAATTGGAGTCTGATACCAGTCTTCTGGTCACTAACTCCATCTTGGTCAATAATGCTAAATTTAGCACACATTGTTTGCTTGGGCAGCCTAGGAAGACTTCCGTCTGGAGTAAGAGGTGAGCATAGAAGCCAAAACCCTTCCCTAGTCAGCAAGACAACCCTTATAAATTAAATTAAGTTTGATTCCTTCTGAAATGTTGTGAAGAGACTGTTCCATAGACTGGTCCTCCCCTTCCAGTAATTCAGGCTATGAACAAATGATGCTTATGTAGACAGCCTGTTCATAGACCCCACTGGCTTGATGAAGACCTTCATGCAGAATCCATGTCCCCAGGTTGCTGTAATTCTGAGGAGGGCTAGACTGCATTCTGAATCTGTCTCATCGAAAACATGGGCACACATTAATTAAAGTTCTATCTGTAATATCTATGTTCATCATTTTACAGGTGTCTGTCATACTTTGATACTCCCTGAGGAAAAAAAAAAAAAAAATACAGAAAGCATATCTGCTTCCCCCCCCCCCCCCGCCCTCCCCTCTAAATGGCCCTGATGTTTACCCCTTGAGAGGTTTGCATTTTATTGATGAAAATGGAAGCAGAAGCATTTTGGCATTGGAGGTATCACAGAAATAGGAAAGGTCATCAGTCAGTTGAAAATAAATTTTCATGCCATTCTAGCTGTTCAATTTTCCATGTTTTCATGGTGGAACAGGATGGAGTGATCACTGCTAATTAATATATCTGTTTGCAAGGCTGCAATAAATGGAACCAAGAAAAGTGAAATGACAGGAAAACAGCACACAGGAAAAAAATCCTCTCCCAAACCAGTAAGATTCTGCTTTTCAGTTGGGAGAATTGCTATTAGTTTGGGTAATTGTTTTTTCCATCAAAATGAAGATTCAGGTGGTAAAGAGACACGATTCACGGAAGACAGATAACACTGCACTGTTTGCAGCCTGTTAGACTTGAATGCACACAATCTGTGTTGTTTTTCCCTTTCCTTTTTATATTTTTTAAGTAGTAATATCTGAAGCTGTCCCCAATGGCAGTCAGCATGTGGGGGGTAAAATCTGGAATTCCCTAATTTCTCCTATTTTCTGATAAAAACTATTACTGTACAAATGTAGATTTTTTTCCCCCCTTATTTTAAATTGGAGTGGTTTTAAAGGGGTGCTTTTTGGTGTAGCCTCTGAAAGTTGGGGTCCCCTGGTGATTGTGATCACAGTCTCACTGAAAGCACTTGGGGGTTTTTTTTGACATCAAATTAATATTCTCATCACTAAGTGTGAAGTAAAGATTTGACAATAGAGCAGCTTCCTCTTTGTTAAGAACTTGCAAAGAGTTTCAGAGTTGAAAGGCTGAGTAAATCTTTATATCTGAGGAGGTAAGCTGAGTGTTATTTCTTGTTTTTAACAGCGCAGTACTGGCGAGCTGCAAGCTGTCTGAACATTGGAGAGAGACCCTTTGGGAGCTCCATTGGTTTTCAGCAAGTCTTTGCATGCAGTGTGTTTGTACTAGCTGAAGACAGCGCATGGCTCTCTAAATAATTTACAAGTTGATTAATAGACTCACATGGGTATAATTAGAAGAGGGAGAGACAGCAGCTACAGTAACGGGTACAGTGCTTGGGGGAACTAG